ATTGATTTACTTCGGAACATTCCAAACGTAAATGATAATGAACACAAGGAAGATGACGACGAATGAATGATATTTATTCTTCTTCTCTTTCATCTTCATGGACCGGAACATACTCAAGCATGTTGTCATTGATGTCGCTTGATGCATCATCCTCGTCGACGAGTCGCTTGGATGGATCAAACCGGCCTTGCTTGCTGTAGCCACAGTGTCGAAAAATGTTCGTCATGTCGTACGACTTGAACGTTTTCAAAATGCTCATGATGACGAGCTTGAGATCCTTCGTTGCCGACTCCTTGTAATGCCGCTTGAAGGACTTCTTAATCAGCCCAAACACATATTCAATTGGATTGTAAAATGCGCAATACGCTGGAAGGAATATCGGAACTATCCCACGACCCCGGAGGTAGTACACGATGTCAGCGTGGCAATGGATACTGGCGCCGTCGAGAATCCAAATCGACCCACGGCCAGGGTATGGGCTCACGTTGTCTGCATGGATCCCACAGCACTCCATGAATTTGGCACGATCAAAAGTACCATCGGTGTCGAAGACCTCCACGATGCCGTTGACGTCGATGAAACAAAGCAGGGAAACCCTTGGTTTCCGCTGAAACTCGCCACGAAAGCAGAGCTTTTTGCCCTTCATTGCATAGCCTCGCTTTCGGAGCATGCCCCTGTTGTCGAAGCTGACCTCATCGAGGAACTGGATGCTGAGGTGTGTCCAGTCCAGCGACGCGAGCTCGGTGAAATACCGTTGGATGTCTTGCTGCTTGATGTGGATGGCTCGACGCTCCAAAGCCTTCCACGTCAAGCCGTGCTTGTGTATCACGTTCCAGACTGTGCTGACCGAGATGAACCTTTTGAACTCGATCTCGAATGCCAACTTGGCCTCGTCCAAAAAGGACATTGGGTTGGATTGGTAGTAGCGAACCAGCCACACATGTTGTGCCTTCGTGAACGTGCCCTCGCGTGGGTTGTTCTTCCTGGCATAGTCCCCGGTGGCTTCGTAGGTTTGAATCCACTTGGACACCGTTGTTGTTGACTTGTGGAATATACGAGCGACATCCGTGCGCTTCATTCCAAGGAAGTAGTACGCATAGAGGGCATGCATTACAGTGTTCCTGGAGGCATGTTGCCGGCCGACGACATCCACGATCATCTTGAGTGCAAAAGGGGGATTATTACTTGGTTGAGTATTGTATACAAACAGCAGTATATAAATGGATCGATCGATTTTGGACAATCCACTCAAGAGTCCAAATATTGGCGAAAAGGACAATACCAACCGCACATAACCGAAAAACATGAAGTTGCATCTCCTCGTTACCTCGGGATATTGACAGAGATATGAAATAATGACTGAAATCAAAGCTTTTGCAGCCATGAACACATTAACTGACGAAGAATATGTCCCGATATCCCCCTCCGCGAACTGCACGCTATAATCCCCCCCACACGCAATTTGCGGCCATCTCGACCTCCAGTGCGTTTTCACGAAGAAGTTAACGTGCAACAAGAACGTGTAGCTTCACGACGACAGCACGCTGGGGGTGGAGGTGTGTATGCCTTGTTTCTATTGCAATTGACATTTAGCGCTAATTGATTAGAACCAACACCGAATGTTGTACCCACATTACGAAGAGATATGATCTGTCGATATCCTGGGTGCACCTTGAAAGTTAGGATTATGGCCACCGGCCTGTGTGGACGACATGGACCTCGTTGCTCGTTCCTGGTTGCGATAACTCCGTTCGCTCTCGCGGCCTCTGTCGCTTGCACGGTAGCGTAAAAGTAAACGATCACTATGGCAGCCTGAAGTTGGCACACCATCGTGGCCTTTGTAGTGCTCATTGCGTTGTGACACTGTTTTCGATGCCCAATTGCCAAAATCGAAGCTACCAAACTCAAGCTTTGCCACTATCACTTTTCATTTCATTAGCAACCTTAGATGAATGAACCCTTTATACTTCTTGCACATGCATTGAAACTGGGACTTGCGCAGAGGGCACATTGCATTGTTCATGGCGCGGCGGATATGATGAGGTAGTGCTGACACGAGGGCCAAAATATTGCTTTTGTACTCACAAGCTGAATTAACTCGGCTATACTGAGCGGCTAGTCACAATAATATTTAAGATAAGGGATATGATACCAATATGCACGAAGGAGAAAATAGCAAAGGTACTTTAGTGAATGATTTGCTGTCTGGGTGCTCATCCCAACTGGTAGTTCCTTCAAACCACTTGTACCAACTTTTCGATGACAACTGAGTGTGCCCTGGGTGGATACTGCCCAGATCAGGCGCATTTCGGGCAGGCGTTTTGACCACAAAACGCTCTCAACAATTTCGACCTTGAGCAGCTCAGTCAGATACAGCTCCCAGACTCTTATACCCATCCACGCTTTCTCTTGCACGATGTAAACATGACTAGGTGGAAAAGCAATATTCGAGGAAACAGTCAAAATCACTCTTAAGCTTTCAAAATGAAGATAAATTGCCTTTGTATTCCTTTTATATATTTTCAACAGGTATGAGTACCTCTGAAGACAAAATATATTGAACGTCTGTGAACAATAGTCTATTGTGACCTCGCGTTAGGTAAGGCCCATCAGAAAACTTCAACGAACATGCTGAGGTTCCAATACACACTGAGTATACGGAATAACGTCATGGAATGAACCCTGCACCACATGGGCTTCGAGCGGGAACTCTACGGCGTGAGCTATTTTTCGTATTGTTTGTGAATTTGTTGTCGTATTAATTTTCCAACGTAGGACGGTGTGCATAACATAACATGATTATATTTTACAGTATGATTGGGACATGTTGTTGCAACAAGGACAAATATGCATTGAAAATATTGTATTACACGTAGGAAGCATGCAGGATATCGTGTACTAGGTCGTAGAAATACTTTTCACCCATTGGCTAAAAATATTGCAATTTCTACTTGCAGGTTGCACGCTGCGACAATATTTAAATAACGAAATAATGGTGAAGTACCACTGGGGGCCTTTTCCCTTCTTTCCATGTAATGGTAGTCGTTGCGTTAGACGGGGAAATCTACAATATCAAGTGACCAAACCTGATCTTACGTCGGAATGAACGATTCGATCGCACAACGGATTTACCATTATTTGGCATGTTGCGAAACAACTGCGAAATCCTGTCACACATGATATCCACAAATTAGATGCGAGAGGTGATCAAGATCA